GCCTCATGCTTCTAGACGCCTCATGCCTCTAGGGGCCTCATGCTTCTAGGCGCTTCATGTTTCTAGGCGCCTCATGCTTCCAGAGACATCATTTATCATATTAATGAATACTAGGTCGCTAGTTCTCAAAGGGCGTCTTTCAGAACGTTCGTGACTTTTCATGGTGTCAGGGTGACAGGACATCTATTCTAGGACCAACTGTAAATTAGGTATTTATTAATGAAACAGTTTAGACCACCTTTCAAGAAACTGTGAGAAGATACATAGTTTTTTTGTGTTTTTTTTTTAAACTTCCATCTACTAAAACTTAAGACACAGTTGCTCCTCAAAATATGCCCAACGTGTGGACCCTCTAATCTGCAGGGTGGCTTTCAATATGTTTGCATTGCTCTGCGAACTGACTTAAAGTGGATTTTTAAGAAATTGCTGTGGAGAAAAAATCGATCAGTTTTTTTTAAAGCAAGATGCAATTGTCCTTCAGGTCAACAACAGGCCTAGAACAATTGACAAATTTAATTCTATTGAACTCCAAATCGTAACTATTGGCACATCTTGTCTTTCAATTTCAAGACACCATTGACTGCTCTTCTTCGATTGCGGCGGAAAGACTTTTAAACTTCGATCAGAAATATTAAGATATTTAAATAAGTAAAGCAAAAAAAATCAAATCAAATGTAATAGTTTTAAATCGTAACTTGTTTTTTTTTAAGGGCCAATATCCCTTTAACAAATCATTGTCGCTTAATTTTTCCATAAATCTTCCACACTCTAGAACAGCTGTTCTCAACCTGCGGGTCGCGACCCCTGTGGGGGTCGAACGACCCTTTCACTGGCGGTCGCCTAAGACCACAGGAAAACACATATAATCTACAGTTGTGAAGCACCAATGAAAAAAAATTTTGTGATGGGGGTCCCTGCAACATGAAGACCTGTGTTAAAGGGTCGCGGCATTAGGAATGTTGAGAACCGCTGCTCTAGAAGTTTATGAAAAGTGTTTTCTAAAAAATTATAGGAAACAATAGAACAAGGGAAAGCATTGCATGCATCTCATTATTGTCTTGCTTAATAATAACAAACAGAAATCTTAGCATTTATGCTTAGCGACAGACCGAATGTGATTTTTCTGGATCCGGCCCAAACCCAAATCTAAAGTTTAAAATGACTTTCGGCCGAAACCAAAAACCAAAAGATATATAACACAGCACAAGATTTAAAAAACTAGAGTTCGTGTCTTAAAACAATGATGTTAAAAAAAAATTCAACATTACCAACAATACTTAAATAATTAGTAAGTAATCTGTCATCCAGAAATAATCATGACTAACCGACATGCGCAGTGGGGGGGGGTGTTAAAATGGCAGATTGTTCAGCGGTAATTAAGGTCAAACAAACTAATGTTGTAGTCCTGAAACAAAAGCTTCTCCCTGTGATTCACCTTCGCCTATGACAAATTTTATGAGCATAATAATGATAAATCAAAATGAATGTCACAAATGAACGAATTGATTAATCCTAGGGTTCCAAAATTGAATTTTTTTTTTTAATTTAAAAATGGAAATAATACAAATATGACCATTTCCTTAGTTTTTTTTTTTTTTTTTCAAATTTAACTTCACTTTTGAAAATTTTTGACAAATAGGTCATTATTTTACTGTACCAAAATTGAATTTTTTTTTTTAATTTAAAAATGGAAATAATACAAATATGACCATTTCCTTAGTTTTTTTTTTTTTTTTTTCAAATTTAACTTCACTTTTGAAAATATTGGACAAATAGGTCATTATGTTACTGTGAGCAGCATTTGCAGAGGATTAGACATATGTCATGGTGTAGCAGCAAGATGTCAGGCTATAATGAATATATCAGATTGCCGGCCAACAGTTCAGTAAGAGTGACAGTCTGACTTCTGGTAGATGACCGAAAGCCTAAAAATCGCTTTGGGCTGAAACTGAACATCAACAGAAAGTTGACTTTTCTGTTTCAGGCAAAACAGAAACTACGTCAATGATGATCATATAGAAACTTTTGGTAATGAAATTCAGTCAGCTTCTGCCTTTGCTTAAATCTTTTTTTTTAATAACAGTGTCAAACTGCTGGATATAGTAATAGAAAAACACAAGTTTGAAATTTAAAAATGCAAGTTGACAGAATTTTAATCAATTACTACATGGCAGTAATCTATAAGTTGTTTGTGTAAATTCTAAAGGAAAAAAAAATAATTAAAAAAATATAAACATTGATTTTTTTAAAAGCATGGTTTTTTAAATCATATGTCTGGCAACTGACATAATATATAATTACAATTTGAGATATTTGGTGCGCTTAAACAGTTGCATTTAATTGAAATCACTGGACCTATATTAGTCTGACAACATGGACAAGACTTAACATTCAAATTCATTACAGGTATAAAATAATATTTACAGAGGAAAAAAAACACCAACAATAGCTTAGAAGGCACAAATCATTATATGAACCATTATACAGTAATTTTTAACACATAGCATTGAGCAAACTAAAACAATTTACACATAAATATCCATTAAAAAAAACTATTTTTACCTTTCAAATTCTGACTTAATGCCACTTGTAATAAGGCAAAAACATTGATTTCATCACTATGATTTCTTACATGCCGCAAATTGCTTTTAGTGTTAAAAAAAATTGATTATTTAAAACTCTTTAACAGTATTTCCAAACAGGACCCCTTTCAGATTTGCTAACCAAATCTCTAGAGACCAAACATATATCATTGGCTGAGATGTTTCACTGAAAGACGGGGGTGGAGGGGGGGTGGAGGGTGGGTCTGGGAAGGGACACCACACTGAACCTAATGGGAGATCACTTAATCTCACATAAACATAGTATAAACCAAAGGACTTTAAATGTTACTTCATGACATCATCAAACCACGCCTATGGTGTCCAACCACGACCATAAAAAGCTATATTCTCAATAAAGAAGAGCTCCAAAGTAAATAAAGTAAAAAAAATTAGAATCAACTCTATCAGATGTATTAAAGTGATTTGATGGCCTAAGCGTAAGTGCCCTACATATTGGTCATCCATATATTGTGCGCACTCACTGGGNTGGGTGGTGGGGGGGGGTGTGAGGTGGGTGGGGGAATATTGCATATGCTTGCAAATAGCAGGTAAAGGGAGGTCCGGCAGATAGTATGTACATTTCTTCACTAATTCTGCAATATTTTTTCCTGATACTCTGAAAGTCCATAAAAAGAATATTTATATATATATATATATATATATAAGGCTGTACAAAACAAAATATTATGCAATATTTTGCAGGATTATCGTCAGAATGTTGCCTTGTGTTTTCAAAAGAAAAGTGAACTTGCTAGATATCTTTATCAGATATGAGTACTCAAGTGAGTTACTGTTGACACATGTAATACATCTCGCGCTACCCCTGGGAGTGCGCCGCTGCAACTCAAGGCAGGGCCGTGCTGAGAACAAACGTAGTACAGGGCGAATCCTGAAATGGCGTCCCTCAATCTGTAGCAATGAGTACCGTGCAGACCAGTATAAAGGTGATTTTTTTACACCCCTTGCCTTTGTGATGTACATAGGATTTTATAGTTTAATTCACTATTATAGTCATGTCTGCCTGGGGTGAGTGTCCCCTTCTCATGGCCCTGTCCGAGGGCAATTCGGCCCCCCCCCCCCCGGGGCAAAATGACCCCCTAGGCTTGCCGAAACAGACTGCAGTGAAAACTGTGACACATTTTTACTGTGATGTCATAATTGTCTATAAATAATTTTATTTGGATTTGGGGGAGGGGGGGGGGAGGTTGAAAGCTCATTTACTTTACGTACGATCTAAAAAATATGTGTGCAAAGAGACTAAAAAAATGTGTGTAAAGGGAGTTGGAGGTAAAAATTTTGGGTATGTACGATATGGATGGCCCATCACCACCATTAACCCTATTGAGGATTAACACCTGAAAGCAAAAATCTTATTGAGCTTTTAAACCAACCAATTCAACGCCCAGCCCTCAAATCCTGTAACAAAATGTCTCTTAAAGCTGGACACTTCTCGTAGTTCTAAATACTTATGCTAACAGGCAATCAATACAAAAATAACAATTCCTAAGTCCAACCACCTGAAGTGCACATGTATAGTGAAGATGGCTTAAGTAGTAATCTACTTAAAAGTTAACGATATATTTATATATAAATATAAATAAATGTATACAATGTTCATTAAAAATATTTAAATGCAAAAATATATTAAAAATATACATCTGTCGTTCAGCTATAAAAATGAAATTTTTTTCACGTAAAAATGGACATCTTCAGAATATTTTTTTTTGGTTGCTTTGATGATTTTATTAAGAGGACACTAATCAGCACACTACTGTATGATGTGGTGAATGGCACATATTAATATAGCTAGCATTTCTACTTCATTGAGATGGCAGTTTTCGGCTGTGAAAATTTGATACATTTATTCGATTGGCCTCTCCATTCTCACAATGTAAATTATGTACTTTGGAGTCTGTGATGATGAGATCATCACCAGACAAGGTTAGGTTTTGTTTTGATGGGTTGGAATCTGGTGCACACTTGCTGTTATGCTCATACATCTCCAGCTCATCTATGGACAGAAGCATAATATCACTGTGGGCTCTGACAAAGTCGCCCCGCTTACTTCCGGCAGCCATGTCATGACTTTCACAGCGATATGGCTCACTGTCAACATCAACCTCTTCATAATTGTCCCCTAATAACCCATTCAAATTTTTAGCTGCTAGCACATGGACGACTTCCATATTTTCACCCTGGTCAGTTTCTACCGTTGGTGTGTGGCTATTTGACCAGTTGTCAACCCAAGTAAACCATGGTTCAGTTGCATGGCCTGACATCATATGGTCAATGTCATCATTGGTGTCTTGTAATGAGTTAGGTACAAGATTCCTGAAAGAAATTCTCTCCTCTGATTCTATGACCATATCATCTGAAATTTGAGGAGACAATATTCTTGCTGATGATTGGCCTGTGCTAGTTGATGATTGGCCTGTGCTGGCTGATGATTGGCCATTGCGGTCTGATGAATGACCTGTGCTAGCTGATGATTGGCCTGTGCATACTGATGATTGGCTTGTGTTAACTGAAGATTGGCCTGCTCTAGGCCTTTGTTGTACAGAGCTGATGCCTTCATCTGGACTATCAGAGGGAAATGAATTTATGTTGGAATCCTGCGGGGTGTGCTGTGCTAATGAAATTCCTGAAATACTTGAGGTACATTTTTCAAGCTCATTGGTTTGCTGACCAAATATTGTGAAAGAATTAGCTGGCTGTTCCAACACTTCTGTTCCAACAAGACTTTCCCTGGGATCATTTAGGCTTGATCCCTCAATGCTGCTCTGAGCTGAAGTTATCAAATTTTGAGCTTTGTTGCAGTGTTGGCCGAAAGCCTTTGCTGAAGCAGTTGCGAATTTACTTGGATTTGATACTCCTCCATTGTTGAATGAAGCAGGGCTAGAAACAATGGCTACCTTGGGTTGAGGCTCCAGATTTAAGTCCATTGTTGAAGGAGCTATTTTGCGTTTACCAGATGTTCTTTTGATGAGGTTGGTTTCCGATGTCTCTTTTGAAGTGCTGATATTTTTGCCAGGACCAGCAGCGAAAGAAGCTGTAGGCTTGATTTTGGCAGATGGGACAGAAGGCACTGCAGGGGTGGCCATGATACCTGGCAGCATTTTGGGGGCTGGCAGTGGAATGACAGCAGGAAGTGGATCTTTGTAATTTCCTTTAAGCCATACATGATGCTGTCCATCTATAACATGTCGAAAGTGTCTCACAACTCTACTGCCTAAGGAATCATAATTACTGCCCATAATCTGGAAAAAAAATAAATAGAGACATATATTTATAAATAAATAAATACAAATAAATAGTCAAAATGTACAGGTCAGAACCAATATTTCATGAGCACTTTAAAGCTTTAATATTGATATTGAAAAAAGTAATGTTCATCTTAAAGAACATGAACAATTGGCTTAGTAATCTGCACCGAAAATGACAGCAATTGTTTTGATTCCAAATATGACATTAACAGATACATTTTTCATGGTACAAATGCGTTTCATAATTTTGGTCATGCACTATATGCCAGTTTACCTCAATGTCCATCTCCTCATCACCTATTTTGAGACATGCTTTGTACAGGTTTGTGTGGTTTCCCCCGTGTATACCACAGCTGTAGATGGGACCTAGCAGTTCCAGATCCAAGGACATTAGGATTTCCTCCTGGACAGTGGAAACATCACTGCCAGAGTCAACCATAAAGTCTAGAAGAAAAGATTATATTATATATCAGATATCAGTGTTATTCCTCAGATTGTTTTAAAATGAGACTTTTAACATTTTATAACAAGACAATTTATTAGCAAACGCCAAAAGATTTTAAAAAGAAATGAATAAACTGAGTTTTTGTAGGACCAAACTGGGAAGCAGAAACTTGTCAAGGAAAACAAAGAAAACCATATAACTTGCTAATTATAAGAAAGGTAGTAATGTATACAAGTGAGATATGGACCCTCACCGAGAAAGCGGAAAACCTGCTCAATACGTGGGACAGGAAAAGTCTCTGGGTCTTAAAGGATAATTATGGATGGAGCATTTGGACAAATCAAGAAATATACCAGTTATACGAAGTCCCAACCCTTGTAGCGCAAATTAAAAAAGGCAGGCTGCGTTGACAGGAAAAACTCAAGAGGATGCATGATTATAGAGGAGCAAAAGTGGTTTACAGACACTCTCAGACATAAACCTAAGGGCAGACAGCTCTGTTCATGATGCAGGAATGAATTTACATCAGCTGGGCACTAGTGCGCATGGAGACAAAAAGTGTTAGTCAGTCCCAATGGATGTGGTGGAGCAGGCCTCTAATGCCTGTAGGGTCAATGATGAGGATTAAACATTTGCTTTTTATTATTTTTATTCAGGGAAGCAGCTTTATTAAATCTAAATTCAATTATTATTATTATCATTGATACATTCCTTGACACTTGTGATCTCTTTCAAATTTGAACCTATTGATATTAAATATTTCAGCTACATTAATACTGAAAAGTGTAAATATTGGATCAGCCAGAATTTGAAAGATAAAATAAGTTACCAGTCTGGCCTGTTTACAGAAATTCAGCTCGCTAGGATGGGCAGAATTATTGAGAAAATTTGGTTAAGAGATTTTCTAAAAGATAAACAAACTGTCAATCAAACAATCAACACACACATCTAGTATCTCAATATTAAATTGGAGCAAGAGAATAAACATGGCTTATAGATCATTGAGATATTAAAGTAAAAAAAAAATAATCAAATTCCATGATATATTTTATTACAGTGGACACATCTTTTTATAACAATCAATTTTTTTAAAATTGAAAATATGTTAACTTCACCAAATTTGTGATTGCTTCAGGATGACAAGTACATCCATAGAAATGACATCTAATCATATTCTTACCTATACAAACTTTATCAGCTGGTTTCTTATGAGAAAATATTGAGGCTTTTACACATAAGAAATCAAACTTTGCTTGGGGGAGACAGGATGGCCTTCCCCATCTCCCAAATGTAATTGGTTTTTCAGGGATCAACTTCTGTTTCAGATTTACTACTGTAGTAACAAAAGAGAAACAATAGCATAAAGTGATAATAAAATTACAAATACAATGTGCAATAAAAGAGGCTTGGCCAGATACTGGGATGACATCCCCACTGGCAGACTACTATTTAAAACAATTGATGCAATGTTTGCACTGAAATTTATTTTGCAATGCAATTATCAAGGCAATGATGCTTTTTTACTCTTTATGGCCTTTGACATTACATTAAAAATCAGATTTAAATAATTAGACATATTCTAATTAATTCATTTATAATTTATACTGTGAACTTAAATTGGATGTAAATTGAACATAAACAATTATTGATTATCTTCTAAGCATTGAAAGAAAAGACAATCCTATAGTGACAGTAAAGATTAATTGGTCATCTATTAGATAACCTCAGTGTTTCCCAAACTTTTAAGTTTAGATGACCTGTTGTTAAGTTTCTCACGGCACCAGGGACTGGTGCCTTATTTTTCACTATTTTATATCATTTTATTTGAACCTCCATAAAAATCTGCGGACCCGACAACATAAGGCTCAGGGCAAGTGCCAGTCTGTGGACTAACCACTTTGATGAAACACCACTCTACCTGCTCTTTCCAATCTTTTCTTGTGTCCTGGCATAGTAATTTCTAAATCAAAATAAGTGCTTTCATCTGGTAACTGGAGCTGAGCAATTTTCTGCAGATCCGTCAGCTCATTTTGCTCAAAGTTAATGTAGTAATGCTCTAGATTATTAACCAGAAGCCATTCGTAAACTTCTTTGACACGTTTTGGTCTGTAATGCTTAGCTGAAAAATTAGAATATACTTGTTTACCAAAAATATTAGAGAAGAGACTTTCATTTGAATAAGTTTCAATTTTCTCTTAAGAATATTATGTATAAACAAGTGTATTCATGCACTAAAATTGTAAAATACAATTAAAAACGTGTACCATTAATCTTATGAACTGCTTTTTATGAAAGATTTTAAATACCGGTACATGTACTTAGATCAAATAATGCTTGTAGGGCACCCCAACATTATTGCTAAAAAAAATTTTTTTTTAAAACAAACACAAATTTCTAACCATTTTGCAAAATAAGTTGTCTATCTCTTGCACTGGAGATCATCATGGCATATTCTAAGTCATCTGATGTTAGATAAGGTATGTCAGACTCTGAATTGTATCCTTTCCCTCTAAATATGTTAAAGTAATGAACCACTCCAATTTGATTCAGAAAATTGTAAACATATTCTTCTGATTCTGTTCTATGCTCTTGGTAGGGTGTATAGGTTGCCATGGTTTCATTAAAATGAAATTCAAAATTTTAAAACTTCATTCCTTTTCATAAGATTCTGCGAAAAAAAAAAAATGTTAATTAAAATTAATCCAATTTATTAAGAATTATTATTCATTTATAAAATATCAATCTCCTCAAATATTTTTAGTACTGGTACTGGCAATGATTTATATACAACTATTTCTTTTTCAGAAAGTAAAATAAAATTATAGTAAATTTCATTATCTACCTTGTAATTTCATTTAAATGCAAAACGGATTCTTTCCATGTCAAGTATTTAAAGAAATAGATACATATAAGTTCTAAAACACTGGTGCTTAGCATGAAAATATAGCCATAAAAATAAAAGGTTTCTTACTTTTTATAATTCAAAAGAAAGGAATTTTTGGAATATAAAAATAAAATGCAGAAATAACTATTATAAAGATTAGACCCCACAGGGCATATTTCAGTGGGCAGAAAATACTCAAAAGTAAAAACATTAACAGAAAAACAAAAACAAAGAAAACTTTTTACGAAACTATAATCAGACCAGTTGTAACTTACACAAGTGAAATTTCGAACCTAACAAAAACAGCTGAAAACCTATTTAACACATAGGAGAGAAAAGTTCTCTTTGAAAGTATAAAAAGGATGAATATGGATGAAAAAATATGAACCAACCAGGAATTGTGTAGAATATATCAGGATTCGACGCTAGTACCGTAGCAGAAATAAAAAAGTCAGGTTATGCTGGGCAGGACATGTAGAAGAAATGAATGCCAAATGGCAGGAGAGTGAAGCGGGTGCACCACCAAAACCTCAGAGGTAAAAGGCTCAAAGTCAAAGGCTTCGATGGATAGATAATGTGGAAATATCTAAAGCAGCAGGGAATCCAAACATGAAAAAGTAAAGCATCCATTAGTGCCATTAGGTCTGGGTGGAAGGAAGTGGTGGGGCAGGCCAAAGCCCTACATGGGCTGTAGCACCACAGAGATGGATGTATATATAACTATTGGAGCAAAGAGTTCTATGCTAATAGAATCAATAATTGATATGGTACTTCATATCTCCTAAAGATTCATATATTTTGTAGAGTAATAGGTGACCCAATATTTAATATCCAAGGAGGACATTTTTTTTTACTCATAGCCATTTTCTACTTCAGGTTTTCACGATTAACAGACGGATAATCATATGCAGGAAACTGGCCATGTCTTTCTTCAAATAAATAAAAATTTGTTTTGATTACAATATTGTTTTCAGTACTGAAATACTTTTGTTGTCCACGTCGGCAGCAAGGCATTCGGTGATAAATTCAACTTGTGGTCAGAATAATTGTGAGGTGTGTATGTGTAGTTAGTAATTAATCAGCAATAGTTTTTTGATTAATTAATTTTGTTTCACTGAAATTGCTCTCTTGATATTAAAATTAAATAATTTAAATGTAATTCTTTTATATAATATTGCCATTGCATGATTAATCAGATTTTATGAATCGTATTATTCAGATGTGCGATATCATAATCATGGGCTGATATTAAGGAGGGATGCCACAGCGTCTTTTGTGTGTTTATTATAGTTGCAGTGAATTAGGGTTTAGGTTAGGTTGAGGGATCGATTTAGGGTTCAGGTTAGGCATAGGGATTGAAATAGGGTTAGAGTTAGGCATAGGGATCGATTTAGGGTTCAGGTTAGGCATAGGGATCGATGTAGGGATACATTCCTGAAATTCAATAAAAATGTGGCATTTGTCCTTAAAATTTACCTAATCATGAATATGAATACCCCACTTCTTTTTCTACTTCTGAGATATTGTCTGTGTTAATTAATACCATGACACAACTGTGACAAATGAATGGGGTTGTTAGTAATTTGTATTAATTTTTTCTGTAAAAATGTATGCTCAGACTGCTGACCAAAGTTTGTAATTTGTAAGTACTTTACAGAACAATGTGAGAGTAGGGTGGTTGACACAGAGGTCTGAATCTATTTAAATGGTAAATTCAGTGAAAACATGACAATTTGAGACTCAAGAGTGTGTTTGGACAGCTTGGTGGAAATTTTAACTATAAGTAAGAGTAACTTGTAAGATTAGGTAATTATGTTTAAGACTAGATTAGCGTCTAGAGCAGAGCTCAGGCGAAGTTTAAGTAGGCAGCTAGGGCTAGACTAGAGTCTAGAGTTAGAGTCACTAAGGGCAAGGGACTGTAGACTGTAGGCACTGCAATAATTATAGTTTTATTGAGTTACAGGTACACGCTACGGTAACTAGTTTCAGTGAATGCTCAATATCTTAATTGGGCTCATTTTTGGTATTATGTCTTACTTTAAGTAATGTTGGTTTTAATTTTTTTTTTTTTAAATAGGTGTTTAACATTTCTCAGCTGCAGTAGAGAACAAGGGCGCTGCCATTTTGTATTTCGTAATTTCCTCTTTAAGGAAAAAAATATATACACATTTTTGATTGGTCAAAATTTATGAGAAAAAACTCCAATCAGAACGTAGACCGCATTGTGATAACGTTGCTGTCTTTAAATAAACTAACACTACTGAAGCTCAAAACTTAATATATCTACTCTTAAACTAGTGAACCTTAAACTCAAATTTTTCTTAGGCTTGGAAGGAATTGTGATTTTCTTACAGCCCTTAAAAGCTAGAATGAGTAGTTCAAATCCAAATCGTAAGGTGGCACTTATTACTGGAATAACTGGACAGGTGGGCTTAATCACTTAATTAATACTACCCAATTGACTTAATAGTTAATACAATTTATAGTTAAATATTAGTGTACATTCTTTAAAGTAAACACATCTAATAAGTTTAACACTAGCCCAGTATTTTTTTTTTAAATAATAAAAATAATTTTAGTATTGTTAGACTTATACTATACTTACACTCATTTATTTGTGTTATTTAATGCAGCAAAATCATACTATACTTACACTCATTTATTTGTGTTATTTAATGCAGCAAAATCCTTTTGTCAGTGCCCAGCATAAGCCAGGCCAGTGGAATAGCCAGAATTAGTACTGCTTAGGATGTTTCAAGCTTTTTTGACCCCCCCCCCCCCCCCCCCCAAAAATTTTTTTTTT